CTGCTGCTGCTGCTGCTGCTGCTGCTGCTGAGGGTTTGGAGCCGCGGGGTTTGTCGGCGTCGGGGGTTTTGGTGGAGCCGCGGGAAGGGCCCCCCGCGCCGCTGCCAAACCCTGAGGGTTTAGGGTTTGGAAGGAGGTTTTCGAACTCAATGATAGTGGCGGATTGGGAAGCAAAAAGGGGCTGGGGTTTGGCGAGGGTTTGTGGGGTTTCTGCGGTGTCTGTACACCCCGGCTGCTCGGGGCTGCACTACGCTGCTGCTTGCTTCGAGGGTTTGAAGGCTTTCAAAACCCTCGAGAACAAGTTGCTGCTGTTCAGACCACTGGACCACTTGCTGCGGTTTGCTGCTGCTGCAGCACGTGCTGCGCTGCCGCCCCCAGACCCGCAGCAGCTGCTGCTGCTGCTGCAGCAGTTCGTCCGCCTCGAAAAAGACTATGTGCTGCCCCACAGGGGCTGTTCCCTTTACCTCAGGCCCCTGCTCTTCTCCACCTCCGTCCGCAAACCCTAAACCCTAAACCCTAAACCCTAAACCCTAGTTTTTCCAGCCTCTCGAGAGCCGCTGGCAGTTCCTCGCGGCTAGGGTTTAGGGTTTCGGGTTTAGGGTTTAGCGGCTGTTCGCCAATAGCGAGTAGCGCTTAATTGTGGGCAGGCAGTTTAGAGAATTAGGGTTTAGGGTTTAGGCTTTAGGCTTTCGGGTTTAGGGTTTAGGGTTTCGCGAGGGTTTAGGGCTTGTTTTGGCTCTGCAGAGCAGCTTGGGTGTATATCCACCTCGCGAAGCCAAGCTGATCGTCTTGGGATGCCCCAGCGGAAATTATTTCGGTACTGCTGCTGCTGCTGCTGCTGCTGCTGCTGCTGCTGCTGCTGCTGCTGCTGCTGTTTCTACTTCTGCCGCTTCTGCTGCTTCGGCTGCTGCTGCTGCTTCTGCGCGGGTCTTCAGCAGCCTTGCTGCCTCTGCTGCCTCCGCAGCAGCCGCAGCAGCAGCAGCAGCAGCAGCAGCAGCAGCAGCAGGGATTGTGTGTGCTTCAGCTTCGGGAATAAAGCTGCACATAGAAACAGAGTTTGTGAGGGCTTGGCCCGGCAGCGGCGGAGGGTTTAAACTCAGCAGCAATTATGGCCCCACTCTCAAACCCCAGAAGGACCGCCAGCAGCAGGGATGCGACCAGGTCCCTAGGGTTTAGGGTTTAGGGTTTAGGGTTTAGGGTTTGGGGTTTCGGGGTAGGGCTGGGGGTTCAGGGCCTGCAAGTTTACGCTTGGGTCTAGGGTTTGCGCGTTATATTTGGGGAGCTGCGGGCATGCGAGGGTGTAGGGTTTAGGGTTTAGGGTTTAGGGTTTAGGGCTTAGGGTTTAGGGTTTAGGGTTTGAGCGCAGCTGCTGTGGACGTTTCCCGAAGGCGGGGACTTCATGTTGACGGAGGCGGGGGCAATGTCTGTTTTTGTTTTAATTGAAAATAAAAAAAAAGAATTAAAATTAATAACTCCTTCAATTGAGAGAAATCTCATTTTGCCCGGAGTCATGAGAAACACTGTTCTCCAACTCACCCGCGAAAAGTACAAACACATCCAAGGCAAGCGAGGGTTTAGGGTTTAGGGTTTAGGGTTTAGGGTTTGGGGTTGGGGCTGGGGTTCGGGTTTGCGGTTCAGGGTTGGGCGTTAGGGTTTGGCGGTTAGGCTTCGGGGTTTGGGGTTTAGGGTTTAGGGTTTACGGTTTAAGGCTTAGGGTTTAGGGTTTAGGGTTTAGGGTTTAGGCTTGGGGTTGGGAGTTGGGGGTTCGGGTTTGCGGTTTAGGGTTTAGGGGTTAGGGTTTGGCGGTTAGGGTTTGGGGTTTAGGGTTTACGGTTTAGGGTTTAGGGTTTAGGGTTTAGGGTTTGTGAGAGTGTTGGAGTGCCAGATTTGGGTCAAAAAGGACTTGTTGCCAGCTTGTGAAATGGAGGGTTTAGGGTTTAGGGTTTAGGGTTTAGGGTTTGTGAACAGTGTTGGAGCGCCAGATTTGGGTCAAAAGGGACTTGTTGCCAGCTTGTGAAATGGAGGGTTTAGGGTTTAGGGTTTAGGGTTTAGGGTTTGTGAACAGTGTTGGAGCGCCAGATTTGGGTCAAAAGGGACTTGTTGCCAGCTTGTGAAATGGAGGGTTTAGGGTTTAGGGTTTAGGGTTTAGGGTTTGTGAACAGTGTTGGAGCGCCAGATTTGGGTCAAAAGGGACTTGTTGCCAGCTTGTGAAATGGAGGGTTTAGGGTTTAGGGTTTAGGGTTTAGGGTTTGTGAACAGTGTTGGAGCGCCAGATTTGGGTCAAAAGGGACTTGTTGCCAGCTTATGAAAACGGAGAACTTCGAGAAGTTTTTTGTGTTGGCACTGGGGCTCTTGTGGTCCCAGTGAAGGCCCTTACATTCGAGCAGCAAACCATGGTGCTGCAGCACAGCAGCAGCAGCAGCAGCAGCAGCAGCGGGAGCAGCAAGTCGTTTGCAGAGCAGATAAGAGAAGATATTCTGGACATTCAAATGGGGCTTTATCCAAACCACCCTTTCGTGGTTGAGTGTTAATTTGATTTATTTGAATTGTTTGGAATTGAATAAATACTTTGTTGAATTTCTTTTTAATTCTTCAAATAAATACTTTGTTGCATTTCTTTTGAATTCTTTTTATTATTATTTATTTATCATTTTTGTTCTGGAGTGGAGTTGCAATTAGAACTTTTGAATTCTTTGAGTCTTTTGCAATTTGAAATTATTTTAAAACTTGCAAATACCATTAAAAGGACTTTTTAAAATTTTTTGAAATTTTTGCATTTAAATGCCTTTTTATCAAAGTGTATTTTCAAGAAAAGCCCAAGTCGAGAAATGCATGCATGCATGCGTTTGCATGCATGCTTGCATGCATGTGTTTTGGGGTTTTTCGAGTTTGTCTTTAACTCCAATTTAATTCATTTGGCATTTTGAAAAAACTTTTCTTTTTTTAAATTCGCAGCAATTTGAAAATTACAATTTAAGTGAAAATGAAAACAAATGGATTTCGCTTGAACACTTTTAATTATATTTTATTTTTTATTAATTCAAATAAACTAGTATCTCGTTTATTATTTTCTCAACTATAATTTAATTTATTTTATTTTTGTTTTCATTTTTGTTTTTGGAATGAAAATTATAAAAAGATATTTGCCTAGGCCGGCACATATCAAGAAAAAAAGAAAAGTAAAAGCAAATCTGCTGCCACTCAAGATTAAGTTCAAAAGGATTAAATAAATAATAGACAATAAACAAAATTAATAATTAATAAAATAATTGTAATAATAATAATAATAAACATGATAAATGATACGAAGAAATGGCACAATCAAAAATAAAAATAAAATGTAATGCCCCAAAGAAGTGCGCAAAAAAGAAGAAAAGCCCCAAACAGCCCCGTGCATGCAGCCGTTTCTGGCTCCTCTTTGCATTCTTTTTGGCCTTTTAAACTTCAAAATAAAAAGCGATTTCAATTAAAGTAAATAAAAATGAATTTCCACTTCTTTCGGTTCTTTTGTTGAGGCGCAAAGCCGTGGAGACGCTCAGGTGTACATACACCCCAAGAATGCAAAGGAAACTCCACTTTTATTTGTATTCTTGCATTCTTCGAGTACAAACTCGGTAAAACAATTCAAATTAAATGAAATAATATTTTTATTTCCGCGTTTGCATGCGTTTCGATGGAGTTTGAGGTGTACAGACAACCAAATGCAGTGTCCGTCCACCGGGCTGGACTTCTCCACAAATAAACAGCAAAAGAACAAATAAACAACGGGAAATAAATGATAACTAATGATAAATAACAATAAATAAAGGCAAATAATGGCAAAAAA